GCACATAATGTTTATGCATGTTTACGATTAAATTTGCTCAAAAGTCTAAAAGAATGTAACGAATCTAAATATATAGTGTTACTTTCAATAAACCTTTCCAATAATCATTTTAATTGTTATAATATAATAATTGTATTTTTTGTAAAATTATTTAGAGAAGTGATTAAAGAAAAGGATTCTATAATTGTGGCATTCACAATAGTTACAGGATTAATTTACATACAAACACAGACACCGTAATTACAATTGATTTACATCTTTTTCTTGTTTTTTCAATCTTGTTCATAAACAAATTTTTTAAGATTCCTGATTATATGTATAATGTTAGCTATAATCTATTTAATAAAAAATTAAGTCAGTCTGTTTAATAAATTTATAACATAATTGCTTTAATGTAAATATTTTAATAAGCTAGTTTTATTGTTTCCATATATGAAAAGTATACGTGCTTACAGGGGTATATTGGGTACTTTTCTCCCGCGCATCTGCTCCATTCTACAAACACTCTACCGGTCATAGACTGCTGAGGGCATGAGGGCGGTGCGAAAAGCTGATGGTTGGAGCTTGGGGAACGATCAGATTATTCGCACGAGATGCTCTTCTAAAACCCAGACAATAAACCCTAGGCGGGAGGAACTTTCCCAACTGTAAGCAATCCGCTCGTATTTCTCTTCCCTTTTCATCATCCGATCGAATGCGATGCTCTGATGACGGCTAAGTTCCTATGTTTTTTATTACTAACAATGCCATTTATACCATACTCACCCTCTTGTTTCAGCTTAATACTATCATCCTAGCTCTGTTCCGATTGTCATCTTTCATTTCGCTGATGCTTTTGGTGTATTGTTCATTGATCGTTGCTTTGACGCCGATGAATCTAATGCTAAGGCTCTCTTATTAATGGTTTTTTGGATTTATAAACTTTTCTTGTTTTTTAGGATTAAATGTATTTTTTCCTTCTTGCGAGATTTGGTTTCATTTCTGAGCTGCTTAACGCGTAGTTCTCAGTCGGACTTTAGCATCGTTGATTCTTCTGTGAAGGTGCATTTATATAAAATACTTGTAAGCAGTTTTGGCGATTCAATATGTGTTCAATTGACGCTCTGTTACTATCATTATGCCCAATAGAAGATTATGAATTCTTCGACGATGTGTATTTGGTCTAAGGTTGCTGATTTCCTGAAAATGGAGTGTGATATTTTAATTTCTTCATAAGTTCTTCGTGCTTGTATATTGTGAATGCCAAATGATCATTTCCATGATGTGTTTGCGCTGTTATCCTTAATGAAATTCCTGTGAATGTGAAAATTACATTTAGAATCATTGTTATGAGGCATTTATTTGTAAGATACAGAAATTATTTTGAATGCTAAGACATTCTGGCACATATATGGCATTTATCCATTTTTTTTTTTTTTTTTTTTTTTTTTTGTGAAGGAAATTTCGTTTTTCATTTGTTTTTTATCGATTGAGTTGAAACTGTATTGCAAGGGTTACCAATTAACATGTTATATTATGAATCTGCTTTGCTAAATAAGAAAGAAAGTAGTTTATTAGTCTTTTTTCTGGTTTCATTGGATTATTTGGCCAATGATTATTATAAGTACTTTCCCCCTTAATATTTGAAATGACTGATTTAACTACGAAATTATTGATTTAACTACGAAATTATTTCTATCCAGAGTTCGGATAGATTTTAAAACACCTGGGAAGTTGGAGAGGAGTGCACATTTCTATGTTGGAATTTTATTGATATACCATTAGAATCTAGTTAAACCATTAAATCTAAATTCAAAAGATAAAGAGAAATTAGGACATGGCTGGTATTCCTAGATCCATCTTACAATTATGAATTTCTTTTCACAGGATTGCTTTTGTCTGTATCTCCTTAGTGATTCTTACTAATATTATACAAATGAATTATGTTGGATCTAGATCTTCCATGGTGATTTCACCTACTACAAGACTTATAGGGTTCCAATAGAGCAAAAAATAGCGAAACAAACTTTGAGTATTTTATTGCCAGTCTGAAATTCTTGCAATGACTTTCTATCCCCAAAAAATTGCTATTGGACCTATTATTTACAGGGGTTTTTATTGTTATATGATAAGACACACTTTGACCTCATAAAGATAAATAAATAAAAAATATATATATATATAACAAGATAGTTATAGACACATGGGCATAAGAAGCATAGCTTTTCTAGGCACACATACACACACACACAAATTTTTTTTAGAGGTAAGGATGGGTAGTGATGGATGTTAGGAATTCTATGATATGACGGGTTAGGTTAGCTCTGATACAAAATGATACTTGAGTTATCCCAAAATAATAATAGGAGCACATATTATTACTAAAAAGGGTTATAGGTTGTTACAACCACACACATTTGATAAGAAAATACAATAACAACCAAGCAAACACAGTTATATGTATCCAAAGGTGGCGATCGATTTAGTGAGTGGACGACAACAGTAGATAGTTGTAGGAGGAGAAAAGGGAGATTACGGGGGACTGGAATGAGAAAAGGTGAATGTTGGTCGACTGAATGACAACAAGAAGAGGCTTTTTGGAGGGTTGGAACAACAAAAAATATAGAGAGCTTTTTTGGGGCGGCAGGGGCGAGCGGGGAATGTGTGGGATTGTTGGACAGCAAATGGAGGGTTGTCTTGAGACTTTGATATTGAGGAAGATGGCTGAACAATGAAGAGAAGCAATTGGAATGAATGGTAGCAAGGTGGGATGCGGTTGAAAGGGATGGTAACAGGTGGAGGAGGTGGTGGTCGACAGTTGGAGTTGCAGGATGACAACAAGGTTTCTATGTGATGGCTCTGAAAATGAGAAAAGAATGGTGGTAGAGAGGGGAGGAATGCAGAGAATGGAAAAGTTAGATATAAATACACCCTGTGAGAACGAGCTATTGCTTGAACACCATTCGATCCCTTGGAAGGAGACACCACCTCGGACAAGCTGTGGTCGGAGCACTACTCTCGCCTGGGATACAACCGTAGAAGGAGAAAACCTGGATGTCGGCGACTGTTTTGATAGAACACAATCGAAAAACTGAAGACCTAAAACACAAGAATCACATGCATAAATCCAAGATAAATAGGATTGGACCCTTCTAAGGAAAGGAGGCACCAATCCCTCGTCGAAGAGCCGGTTTGCTCTCCCGAGTTTGAACTATTTCAGTCCAAATGAAGGAATCACGAAAGCCTCTCCCACTGCTCCTTTATGCTCGTATCACCTACTATCTCAATGCTTGGTGCTCAATCAGAAAGCAAAACTTTAATAAAGCATGCAACGATAATCAAATAGCCAAGAGAATTCTATCAAAATTATGACAAAAATCGGCCCAATGTTTAGGCTCACTAAAATTATGGAACATTTACATACATACGGCACAATTATTATACATTACATTTCTAAGATTTAAACATTCCTATTTACATGCATATATTTATACATCACATCAAAGATATTACAATCACCACCTTCTTAGAAGTGAAAAACACCATTTCATATAGGTTTATACACCAATATATTATAATTATAAATATCAAACAATGGATGTTAGAAATGTAAATACATAAGATTTGTGTGGTATCCTGCTAGTTTCCCAAATATTTTTTAATTTCTCGGCTTGGGATTTTGGTAAGGTGCCTAGTACCTATTAATTAAACACCTAAAGAGGTGGAAAACATTAATTAATAACAATTGAATCTTAAGAGACATTTTTTTTATTATTATGAAATTTTGTAAATGTCAATTAAGCCTAAGAGAAATTAAATTCTGAAAAATTCATAACAGAGCTTTAAATAGCACCCCAAGAGTTAGGACATCTGTACATGGTTGATAAACTAGAACTCCGTTAAAAAAAAAAAGTTTTTTATTGTCTTTATTTTTAAGAAATAAAAGTAAGGGAATAATATTCATTTGTAAAGGTTTTCTCTATTATATAATAAAAATTTTAACAAAAGAAAATTATTTATTTGTAGGAAAGATAATAGTAGTTATAGTTGAAAATATAACTTCTTACATATGCTGCCCTAAATTAGGAAAAAATGAAAATTAGCATTTGTCAGCTCTATTGCATTTTAAGAATATCTGTTGAGTATCAGATCATATAATCTTAACCTAAAGGCCACAAGACAAGTCATTCATTGGTAATTTGGATATAACATCCTTGATATTTTGTAAAAAATTATATAATAAAAAAAAATCTTTACATGGATCAATTAAAGTATGCTCGTTATAATAACACTGACTCGCAACATTTAAAAAAAATCTACTTTTTTTTCATAATTCTACCGTAAATTTTAAAAATAACTAAAGTCATTCCATACAAATCTTCCATTAATCTCAACGATCACTTTTTCACATCTTGAACCTAGACATTGGCCTAGACGACTGCGAGTAGCACCAAGATTTTCTCAAGATTAACAATAAAAATGGGGCATTTACATAACTACCACACAAGTCTTGTATATTTACTTACATAACACTTCAGTTTTTAACATCACATCAAAAATACCACTATCACAAACTTTTTAAAAGAGAAATACACCTTGTCATGCAAAAGTTTTTTGGGGGAAAATTACATAGAAACCACCAGCTTTCGTCAATTTTACAAATTCTCACTCAAATATCAAAATTCATGTTAAAATCCCAACCCATATTTTTCATTTTTATCAAATTCTCAATAGTTTGATCGTGGCATGTGTAAATACATCGGTTCGGTAATTCAAAATAAATAAATAAATAAATAATCACATGGGTGCTTAATTTGTAAATATCAATGTTGCAAGTGGTGGTCTGTATGTAATTATCCCAAGTTTATAAACATAAATATCAAACTTCAGGTGTTTGATATGTAAATGCATAGGCATTGTGTGGAATATACGTAAATTTCCCTAAAATAAAATATAAACAACAAGAGCTGTAATCTAGCAAGTAAAATTGACATATAACATCTACCAGACCAGAAGAAGAATTGTTGGCTGGTTTGGTTGGCGAAAGATCATAGTTGTGTTCAATAACTGTGCCTATAAAAACCTGCATGTGAAAATTAAAACATGGTTAATTTTGATTTCAAATCCTCTGTGCAAATGAGTGCCATTCATTTTACCATTTTCAAGTTGATATTGCATGCCTCATTACATTTTTTTTCCATTTATCATCCATATTAAAACAATGCATTATTTTTTACTTTTGAGATTTTCTTCATGTAAATAGAAAAGACTTCTCGGGGAACAATTACTCTTGAAATGCATGAATTCACTCAGTTTAGAATATGATGAACCAGTCTTCTTTCATTTAGTGTGTGTTTGAAGCCTTCCTATCCTACATGATTACTAAGAACATGCACTAATTTGTCAGCATTCTGGTAAACTGCTATATTTCCTAGACCTTGGACTGTGTTTGTGAAATGAGTTTTGATTCGTGTTGGCTGGTTTGGTTAGACTTTATATGGTAAACTTTCAATACCAATTAAATTCTGCATATAACATAACCAGGGACCTGAAATCGCTGCAAACTTATTTTTCTTCTGAATCTACATCTGGATTTGGATTTAGTTGAAGTGACCACCAACTTGTTTGGCCAATTACACATTATGAATGACAAATTCATAGCAAGGGGAGGTTCTCACGATATAGAGCTCCACAAAAAGGAATAATGTAATTCTTAATTATGATTGAAATTTATTTATTTGATATTTCTGTCTCTGAAAATCACTCTTTTAATTGCTGATTTGTTTCACTGCATTGCACTATCTTTTTCGATTTAGTATGGTCAAAATAAAGCACCCTTTGTGCAAATGCACTGTTCCTCTGTTGATTATTCCTGGTTGTCTTTTATTGAAAAATTAGTCATATTCTGGGAGCATTGTCTTTATGCAGACAAGTACTAATTAATTGATTTACGTATAAATTGTTTGGTTAATCAGTGGTACTTCCTTGAGGTTTTTGAAAGCTTTTTTGGTGTACAATTGTGAAAAAATTATGGCAATTCGCATGAGGGACCCAAGTGACTTGATATTTTTAAGGTAGGGGATCCAACAACTTTCCATTAAGTTACAATGCCAATGGTGCATGCCTAAATTTTTTAATATTTAGAAAATTCATGGTTTTAAGCTTTGGAAAATTTAAAGAACAAATGACCCAAAAAGTTGTAATCCTCAGAATTTACATACAATTTTATTATTTATCTTGTCCTAAAATGCTTAGAACATTCATTTCATACAATAGTTGTATACAACGAAAAACAACATAAGCTATATCTATATAGCAGAACATATTCTAAATCTAGAAAAACACTATCAGACCAAGTCCAATCATCTAAGTTGCTCCACATAGGGGAGTCTGAAGGCAGCATACCAACTGACGGATCATCGGTACTAAAATCAGCAAAATGATGGAGAGATTCATCAAATGGAGTGGGTTGTTCAACAAATGCAGCAGGTTGCTCGAAAGGATATAGAATATCATGCTGCAAAATCATATCGAAACCAGCATGATCTGGAAGGATGTATTCAACACATGGGTAATATTGGTCGGCTGGAGGAACATATTGGTCGGCTGGAGGAAGAGGTGGTGCCGGTGGAGAAATTTCTTCCAGATTGATCATTGGAAGATCATTCTGCTGCAAAAACATATTGGAAGTGGCAAAATCTGGAGTAAGCTGATCATAGGAAAGATGATAATGCTGTAGAGGAGTGGAAACGGCATACGGCGCAAGATGCTGCTCTTCCTCGCCCGGAAAAGGAAAATGACGTGCCAAATTCTCATCTTGCTGCAAAAACATATTGAAAGTGGCAAAATCTGGAGGAAGCTGATCATAGGAAAGATGATCTTGCTGTAGAGGAATGGAAACGGTGTACGACGCAAGATGCTGCTCTTCTTCGCCCGGAAAAGGAAAATGACGTGCCAAATTCTCAGAATGGGAATCGGCTTGGAGGAAAGTGGCAAAATCTGGAGGAAGCTGATCATAGGAAAGATGATCTTGCTGTAGAGGAATGGAAACGGTGTACGACGCAAGATGCTGCTCTTCTTCGCCCGGAAAATGATCTGCCAAATTCTCAGTATGAGAATCGGCTTGGAAGAACTGCAGCCTCTCTCTGATCTCTTTCAGTTTGATTTCCATGGCCACCATCTCCTCATGGAACAGCGTCGTGGAAACGCAAGAAGAAGACATCGGAAGGCACGGGATTTGCTCTGCGCTGTTGCCGCTTCCTTCATCGCCCTTGTCATCGCTGTTATTCCTCTTCTTGTGAAGGCAGAGGTATCGCTCCCTGATCCGGTGGAATTCCGGCGTGCCCTTCTCCGGCCAGAATTCTACGGTGTTGAATTCCGGCGAACGTGCAGCGACGAGAGCAGGAACGCCGCAGAGGAGGGAGATTTCTTCGGTCTTCTTCTTCAAGCCTTTCCATCTCGTCATGTAAGTTGAGCGGCGCGCGCGAACTTGCTCTCGATACTTGATCGGAAGCTTCGCACGACCCATGGCTCCAGCAGTCCGTCGCTCGCCCTTTCTTTCTTGACGAAGCCGAGAAGAGGAAGGAAGCGGGAAGAAGTTGAAGTTAGCCAGAGACTGAAACCTTCGTCTCCTTTTTAACAAAATAAAATACGACCGTTGGGGCAATTGTGCAATGGGCGGGCATTGGCGGGCATGGGATTTCTAGATAAACATTCCTTTTTTTCAAAAATTAAATTTTAAAAGAAATAGAAAATCATAAATTAAAGAGTTTTTTACGTATGGCTGAAAACTTGAAATCATATTTATTCTGTATAATTTTTTTTAAATATTAATTATATAAAAGGTCTTTAAATAATTTCTAAAGACACTTTAAGTTCTACATAAACTTAAGCACTTAATAATTTTTAAATCAATTTTATACAAATATTTCAAAATCTTACTAAGCTTTTCACAAATCAACCTTTAGCCTATTTCAATTTTCAGAGAAAAAACACTTACTAAACTTCACCAAGTACAATTTCAACTTACATAACACATGGCAAAACGAATTCTCAAACAACCTTCAAGCACACATAAAACAATTCAAAATGAATTATCAATTCAAAAATTACAAAAATACATTACCAAAAATAATCATTAAACTTCACTATTTAAATAATTAAATTTTAAAAGAATTAGAAAATCGTAGAAATATTCCTTAAATTTGAGAAATATTAAATAAATTACAAAATATTCCTTAAATTTGAGAAATATTAAATAAATTAACTTTTAATAATAAAAAATCAATAAAAATCATAAATTACAAAAAATTAAAATTTTAATGTGCATTTTATTAGGCCAAAAATTATCTCTTTAAGTGATTTGTGTATTTTTTGTAAGTTTTTCATATTAACACACACACACACACACATACACAAATATATATATATAAGTCCTAGATCATAAGAGATTTTAACGTTCTATTGGTCAGATTCGATGTAAATTAAGGTCGAAAAGTTAACACATCAATATGCACAAGTCAAAAGCGCATAATATGTTCATGGAGAAAGTTACAATAAAAAATGAGAACCTTCATTCATAGAAGCATTGGAAGCACAGTTAGCTACGAGCCACGAGGCAAAAAATCAGGGAAAACTTTATTGAACAAATTGAAGAAAAAATTACAGAAAAGTACAAACCTATAACCAAGTCTTCTCTCCGCAATACACCAAGTCTTCGCCATACAATGAGAAGCTTTCCACAATTCCCCTCACACATCAACACTCAATCTGCCTCTCATAAAAAAACTCTCGACACTCAAAGCACAAAGCACCATATAAGTTCCCTTCCCAAAGGAAGAAGGAAGAGAACCTTATAGTTTGAAGTAGAACCCTAACTTCTACTGCAAGAAACCTCTCCAAGTCTTAACACCTCTCCTAGAGCATCCTAAAGCATCTCCCTATATATCTCTTGTCAAATTTGCAATGCAAAAAGATTCTTTGTATAGCTGGGATTTGATCCTCATATGAAAGGATGTGTCAATCCTTCATGGAAGAGTCAATTGGCTTTCTCGGTTATAGGAAAATTTAGTCCAGATGAAAAAAATGTGGAAGCCTCTTCCATGACTCCTTTACACTCGTGTCAGTCTCCAGAGTTGGGGATGCTTTAATCTCAAAATTAGCTTTTGTTTGCACAATGAAATTAGCAGAGGTTTTGAAACTTCTCGAGGTTGAAAGATCTTTGATTATGGCCCAAGAAGCACTTGGATCCCAATATTAACTGCACAGTCTCCTAAATCACCTAAGAAGTTT